GAGGGGATTCCCCACATTTGCACCCAAAATGGCGCACGTCCCACCGATTCCACCACCACAGGGGTCCACCGGTTCCCAGGGTTGAAGTTGGAGAATCATGTCTTTGATGTGCCACGGGGTACGATGGAGAACCATGTCTTTGTCCTTCTCATCTTCAAATAAGAACTGGAGGAGACCCAGCTCTACCTCCATGACTGTGACTTTTCCAGAGCAGGACCATTCTCCAAAGACGATCCGTTGGATTGTTTTGAGGCTTGGAGGGTTCTCAAGGAACAACCTTCCGATCATACTCATTTTCTCCCTTCGCATACTATCCTCAACGTCCTCCAGCTCGAACTCCACAATCTGGTATGCATCCATGGGCTCGACTGACATGATTCCTTGCTTATCAATAGCCTGGTAGTGCTGAGAAAATATCCAAAATATTGATAAGAAAAAAAGGATGCTTATGTGGGGAGCGAGCCAGAGAACATAAAGACGGTAAACTGCTATTTCAATCATGGTTTGCTTACCTCTTTCAAAGGAACTCCTATCTTTTCTGGGTATTTTGCCTGACTCTCGAGCTTATGGAAGAACTTTGTGAGAGGATCAAGGTTGTTGCATGCGCTAATATATACCCATTGCGGTGCCAGCGATTCACCGCGTTAACAACCGATTCATCTTCAATCGTTATCCCCAATCTTTCTCGGGATATTTTATCCCACCTTCGGATTTGGGTATATCGCCAATATTTTCTATCTCCTGAGGATAACTCCCAATCTGGGTCGATTTTTTGGGGCGAGATACGGTCACAACCCCCTTTGAGGTTGTGAGATTCACAACCAAGGGCATTTTGGGTATGACAAAAAAAATATTAATTAAATTTTTTATTATTAATTACAGATTGGGAATTAAAAACCCATATTAAATGCATGCTTTTTTAAATATAAATCCTACAATAAATATTACTCTCTCTTCATATCTCTCTCTTTCTTTCTAGCAGCCACACCACTCCGACCGGCTGACTTTGCGACCGACACACTTTCTCCGGCGAAATCCGTGAATAAGACTCGCTCCGGCCACCTGCAAAAAATTATCGCTCCATCAGTGTGGTAGTGGTACGCTATCGCTACCACTGGTACCACTACCAGTACAGCGGTACAACTACCATCTGGTAGTGGTCGAGTACCACTGTCATTTGGTACCACTACCAATAGAAAAAACCAGATCTGAAAAACCAAAAATCTCAGATCTGAAAGACGAAGGGGAGGAGAAGAGATGAGGCACAGAGAGGCAGAGGGACTCATACGGAGAAGAGATCTGAAAAACGAAGAGATGAGGCAACGACAAGGGTGGAGGGCCGCAGATTATTGTAGAGGCGACAACTGCGGCAGAGGCTGTGGAGGGCGGCAAAGGCTGTGGTGGGTGGAGGGAGGCGGAGGGCAGCGGCAAATGTGGTGGACGGCGGCAGCAGTGGAGTCCGGTAGCAGTCACATCTGATGGAGAATTGGAGGAGGGAGAGAGGGAGGAGAGGGTTAGGGAGGAGTTAGGGTTTTCTTTATTTATATGGGAGGGAGAATAATTGGGTGTGGTAATATTTTCCATTCCAAAAATATCCTTCCTTTAATCCTAACCATCTATTTGAAAAAAAGAAGAAAGAGACAGGAGAGAGCGTATCCAATGGTTATAAAGTGGGTTGTGAATCTCACAACCCCCAAAGGGGGTTGTGACCGTATCTCACCCCCGATTTTTTCGCCGCTCTCAGGATCGATTTCTTCGCACTTTCCCGAATCCAAATGAAGGATCTCTTCCATATCCATCTTCCCTTCTGTTTTCACAACCAATTGAGAATTGCCGTGCTCGTCCTAGTCTCTATCATAGAGAACCTAGCAGCGATGAAGAAGACGACGCAAAGGAGAAGGCGATAGGGTTTTTTTTGAGGAGAGAAGGCAGAGCATGGCACCGGATTTTTTCGAGGAGAGATGAGAGAGGGGTTTTCATGATGATAAGAGTTTGCAAGATAGAGTTACAAGAAAAATGGGTGGCCGATTTATCCCCACCTCTTCTTCATTTCATCTGCGTTCCACAGAGCTATCAAATGGACTACTTTATTTGCTTCTCGGCCTACATATTTCCAAATAACATGTTGGAATAACTGGGCCGGAGCCTGTAAATCTGCAAAAAAAAAAAAAAACCCACCTCAGTGTTTCATTCTTCTTCCTTTCACATTTGCTGAATTACAAGTAAGCAATCTAATTTGATCTCAATTTGCAATAACTCTAAACGCCTCGCTATCTCCTTCACATACCCAATTGTCATGGCTTCTGCTGCCTCCGGTTCCCCACTGGATCCAGGATTTCTTTACTACTGCAAACATGCATCTTCCATCCCTATCTCGAACCACCACCCCAACCCGTACCTCGTTCCGGGAAGCAAGTTGCGTCAACATTGATATTTATTAGAGCAAGTTTCACTGCATTACTATCCCACCCGAGAGTGCCCTCTGTGCGGAAACCAGAGGGAGTCTCTTCATCACTGCCTATTCCAATGTCCACATGTTGCGGAAGGATGGACACAGGAGTGGCCAAGCATCTCCATCCCTCCTCCTCTTACCAATATTTTGGAGTGGCTCTTCGCACTTTCCTCGACTCTCTCTACTATCAAGATTCAGAAGATCATCTATCTTCTATGGCAGACGCGGAAGGCTAGGAACGAAAAGATCTTCAGGAATATATCTCCATGGCCGCCGGGTACAACTGTGAAGGCTCGGGACACCCACCTACAATGGACGAACTGCCCCAAACGGAGAACGGTTGCCCGATCTCCACATAATCAGCTCAACTCACCCCCTGATCAAACCTCACCCCCGCCATGTACTCATGACTTTGAGATACACTGTGATGGGTCGTTTATTCACGACACTCAGAAGGCGGCATATGGCGTTGTGATTTCAAACAGCCATGGTCAAGTTTGTGATGGGAAGGCTGATTCCCTGCATTGTTTTCCTCCCCTAGAAGCTGAAGCGAAGGCTCTTCTTGAAGGTACTGTGATGACAAAATGTTTGAATGCCCTATGTCTTGTGAGAACGGATTGCCTGACTCTTGTTAAGACAATCTTTGGATCATGAGACTCTTGGCCTTGGCGGCTTGCGACTTGGATTTGACTCATCAAGAATGCCATTGCCTCTCACCCTTTGATCCGAATTGAATATTTCAACAGGAAACTCAATGTTAAGGCCGATTGGGTTGCGAGATCATGTGCTAGGGGACAGCTCCCAACTGATTGGATTCATATCCTGGATGTTTTAGCTCCCCTCTTGTAACCTGTCACTTCACTTCTAGTATGAATCTCAATGCCTTTTGTCAAAAAAAAAAAAAAAAAGTTCCGGGGGTTACCATCGCCTGTCTCCATTCCTTTTCCACGATTCAAGGCCTATTTGTTTCTCCAAGTAATCGTTCACTGGTTACAAGTGTGTCTATGATATTTTTTTTTGTTTACAGAAATTGTGGTTTAATCATGGTTCAACTATTTTATACAGGTAATACTCGTCTATCGATTTAGGTTTCATTAAAAAGTTTTTCTGGTCCGAGGTCAGACTGTTGGCACAGTACAATTTCACAAAAGATTAAACAAAGGATTAGTTAGCTTCCTAACTATAAAGGTGGTTTAGCACCATGCTAGCCATGCATCGTAGTGGTATAATTACAGTTGTAAATTGTAATTATTGTATTTCCAGTTGGAGTCTCTTTCATTTACAATTCCCAAGCGAACTACTACACTTCATAGTTACACATAATCTTAGCTATTATAAGGCGGGTTGCAAATGAGCCGAGTCGAGTTGAGTTTTTGCTTAGTTTGAACACGACTCGTTTATAAATTTTTCAGCTCGAGCCCGACTCGAACTCGAATTTTGATAATCCAATTCGAGCTCACCTTGAATAAAAATAAGACTCGGTAAAACTCGATAAATGCTCATTAACGTAGCTTATCAAGTTGAGTACAAACTTGACCCAAGATGAGCTCGATTTGAAACCATTCTTGTTGGAAAATGTGTAAACATAAGAATTTAAATGATAAAAAGAACACTAGAAACTAAAAATAATATCTCTCCCATAAACATCCGTATTAACAATATAATTTTCATTTTCAGAAGAGTAATTAATCATTTTTAAAGCTCTAAACAAGGCAACTCGCGAGCTTAGCTCAGCAAACCGCCAAGTCAAGCTAACTCACGAGCTTATCAAGCTGAGCATGATCTAGCTCAAGCTTGGCTCGTTTACTAACAAGTTAGCTCGTGAGCCGGTTTGTAAAATGACGAGTCGAGTATCGAACGAGTTTTTTCCCTTGTTATAAGAACCGAACCGGATCAACGGCCAGGCTAGTAGAACCGTCAAACCAGTTACGATAGCGGCCCGGTTCATTGTTTGAACGATTATTGATGGACCAAACGGTTTTTCACGGTTCAACATAAAATCAGATGAACCGGCACGGTTTAACTGGTCCACTGGTTCACTATTTTAACAAAAAAGAATATTTTAACATGAACTAAGACAATCAAATCATAATTATTAATTTTATATATGCTTCCTCAACCTTATTGTCGATTTTACATTGTCTACTACCAACTAAAACCATAATTTTTAATTTGAATTAAAAAAGGTGGTTTCTTTTGTGAGATGGTTGGAATGATTTATTAGATATTTTCGTGATGATATGAATTTGAACTTTTTTATGGTCAATGATAATTTCATTCTTAAATTAGTGTAATATACAAGTCTTGTATGTTATATATCATTAACGGTTCTATCAACGGTTCACCAACGGTTTTGTAACGGTTAACCGGTGAACCCTAAACCACTAACTTTTCCGGTTCAACCTTCGGTCCGGTTCTGAAAACAGAGGTTTTTTCCGATTCGACTATGAGTTGCTCGCGAACTGCTTGACTCATTTGCAGTCGCAGTCCTAGTAGGGAGGACAATACCCTGCCACAAAACACAACTAAAATCACAAGTCAATAATATCCTCTAATCATTGGTGGGATTTGGGTCAAAGGGAACAGCCAGCCCGATTCATCAATGAACATGACTAAACCCATCCCACTCCAAATGGGTCGAACCTAACATCATTTTCATCCACACAACTTGGTCGAAACATGTATTCCACAATGAAAGACTGAAACACATCATTCACACTGGAAGTTAACATATACGAGTTACGACATTCAGTACTTAATAACGTCTTGCAGTACTAAGTGCAATTTGTCTAATACTAGTTGGAGCTTCCACCGATCCCAAAATAGGCAGCCCTTCCCCACCTTCCTAGTTCCTACACAGGAATATATGCACCAAAATGGCTCAAAAACCCTCTAAATGGAGAGTGGAACAAACAGAAAGCTCTCCACTTCACCCCACCCACCAACACCATCACTGCTCCACTAACTTCTTCTGCTTCTACCCTATTATATATAGTTATATATATATGAACCACTAACCCAGTACATAACCTTGTTTGACTGACTACAGATTCAGCTTAAACCCAGCAGACAAGAAATCATCCCTGCAACCAAAAAACAGCACAGTTCTAAGTAAGCACCACCATTTGATAACAAACGAACAAACACAGTAGCTAGTACATGAACAGATACAAATTCCAGGAGAAAAACCAAACCTCTCCTCCCTTTGGTTCTTCTTCTTCTTCGTTCGGGATCCTGGTTTCTCTTGTTGCTTGTCAACTTTCACTTCCTCTACCACTGGTGGAACCTTCCCATAGGGTGAAACGAGGCTTCCATAGCATACAACTGCATCCACGGACTTCCCCTTCAACCCACGTACGGTGATCTTCTCAGCAGCAGCAACTTTCTTAGGATCCTTCAGGTCATACCAAACAAGCTTCTTGCCATCCATCTGCAGAAGAACCTCCTGACCAGTCACTGAGAATCCAAGCGGTTTGATCTCATCATTGTAGCACAATCCGGGATGTGGGACTTTGAACAATAAGCTCCATGACTCCTTAACACCATACTCTTTCATCATCCAGACATCCACAAACTTATCCTTGTAATTGGCAAAGAGACACAAACACTTCCCCAGCTCGCCAATTACCATGTTGAACGGCTCCCAAACTGTGTACTCTGGCTGTGGCACTTCCCTCAATTCATTGAGCTCTAAATCAAACCCAATAATCACAAGCTCGCTGAGCGTATCATCACTGTCTGGATCTTCATGCCTACCAGCTATCCAATGAACTGCCCCACCCACAAACACACCTGTTTTCCTCAACCCAAGAAGGATATACGGAAAGTTCACCTCTACCCAGGAATTCGACCAAACCCCATAACTAACCAACACAGATTGCAGAGAATTTTCTTCAGGCTTGAACACCTGGAGAATCTCGACTACCTTGTAGTCGTCGGACATGGAATCGTACCCGAATCCGAACCCGGAGTTGTAAATCAAGTTATTCCCGCTGGCGGTGAATCTGTAAACTCCCGTACCCGGTTGTTTCCCGGAGAGCGTAAACGGCATAAAGCAACCATGTTTAGTGGCGGGGTTCGATATGAGTACCTTTTCCGAGTCGCAGGCGAAGCAGAGCAACCCGTTGCAGGAGCCTATTAGGGCAAAGCCCGAGCGTGGATCGGTGCCGCTAGTCTGCGCACGAGGGGTGCTACTCGTTCCGCGATGGAGGCCGTTGACGTACTCATCGACGACGTAGTCGCCGTGGAGTTCGCTGATGAAGAGGATGGCGTTTTTGCCGGTGGTGGCGGAGTGTTCGATTTGGAGCTTGCTGAACCTTGGGCTGTCGATCAGTGCCCGCCAGGCTTTGGAGACACAGCGGCAGCGCAGAAGTGCAGTCACCGGCAGGCGGACGAGAATTTTGGTGACGAGATCTTGGGGAAGGTGATCGGACATTGTGGTGCCAAGACAATCGGCTTGGAAAAGGGGAAACGCGAACACTTTCAGTCTCGATGGAGACGAGTGGCCAAAAAATAAGGTCTGCACGTTCGGCTGATCGCACTAATGGGGGAGGCTTTAAAGAGTTTTAAGGGTAAATTACAAGTTTGATCACTTATATTATCTATTTGTAACACATCAATCATCCAAATCACTTTCTCTTCAATTTTTCATCTATACTCCCTATGTTTGGCCCGGCTTTTAAAAGTGTTTTTAGGCTTTAAAAGCTGAAGCAAGGCCAAACACCTGTAAAAGCTCGGCTTTTGAAAAGTCGAAAAGAGCTTTTGTATAACATAAAAGCAAAAGCTCCGATTTGGAGCTTCTGCAAAAAGCTGTTTTGAAAATACAAGATTATCCTTACCATATTTTAATTTTATTTCAGAAAATATAATTTTCCTTCATTTATATCATTTTAAAAATAAAATAAATTATAAAATCATATTATTTAATATAAAAGAAATCTAACAAGATCCATTTTGTTTACTTTTTATTGTTTAGAATTTTTATTTTTATTTTATATTATAAGTCCTTTATAGTCATTTTGCACAATTTTTTATATTAAAAAGCACTTCTTATAGTTTTACAGCCAAACACTCAACTGTTTTTTTTGAAAAGTACTTATCTAAAAGCTCCAGCCAAAAGCTGCTTCTGCAAAAACTACCGCAGGGCCAAACTAAGCTACTATATGTTTATTTCATCCTTGGTCAGTGGCTATATAATACTGATAAATCTGTCCTTGCTGGCAGTCAACTCCAACATATGACCGTCAAAAAATTGATGTGTCAATTAAAAATAACAAAAATAATTATTTTAAATTTTCACATTATACTAAAATTTAATAAATATTTATTTTTATAAAAAATAATTAATATATATGAATAAATGGATCCCACTGACTTTTCTCCAATCACTGACTTCCTCGTCGTTTCCTCTCTATGGTTGGACAACGGAACGTGACGGGATACTCAGAAGAGAAATAGCATGGGAGGAGCCAGTGTCTCGGTCTCGCCGAGTTGGGGTTTGCCAGTTGACGTTGCATCATGGTCTTGAGGAATGATGTCGAGGGTTGAGACTCAATGGAGTCAGGGAAAGGACGAGAGGTCAGAGGAGAGGAGGCAGGAGATGGGCTGGGTAGGGGTGGGTTGGTCTGCTAGGGCAGGCTGTGGCTGGAATTGAGCTCCGGTTGGGTTGAGGTTGGGGCTTGGGGGATTGGGGCTAGGCTATGTAATGTCTATTGTAGAAATTTTTGCTAACGGATATTATATGTACTTGTATTTATCAAACATGTATTAATGAGTGATCCATGGGTATCCGTTGTAAAAATAATTTATCGTAAGTCCTATATCGTTAAAAAAGAGTATTTGGGTACCCATAATCCTAAAAAATGAGACAGGTATGAGTATAATTGTTGGTGGAGAAGGAGCAACTATCAGAATTAAATAGGTTTGAATAATATAAAATGGGACGGGTATGGATATAGTTGTCGTTGTTAAGTACCATACATAATACATATACCTTTTATAAAACACTTGAATTATTGAAATCCGTTTGATTTATGAATTATGATGATTTATCTCGCAAAATGGCTAACCTTGGACATTTCAGCACTCCGGCATATCACGGTATTTGACATTTCAGCCGGCCGGTCTATAACCGATGACCAGAAAAGTTCGCCGCCGCCAAGCACGGTTGAGATATCCAGTGGGCCGGGCCAGCCATCACATTACTCCCAACCCGCCCAATCAACCCATGTTTAAGAATCCAACCGCTAGCCTTTAACCCGTAACTCACCCCAACCCGACCCATCATCCCCCGCGGAATTTCCAGCTAATTAAATAACGTCCACCGTTGACTCGTCTTGTTCAAGTTCGCAGCAAAATCAGAGATTTCGGAGAACATCTCGCTCATCGCCTCTCCGTCTCCATCTCTCACAGCTCGTAAAGCTCTCTGCAACTCCACGAGGTAAAAGAAATCCTGCTCTCGATCTTGTTTCTTCTGTCTTATTTCGCACTTTGATCTGCTTTGCCGGCTGGCTTCGCTGGTTCTGTTCCCGGTGGTTTGACGCCGTCCTGTTTTGAATTTTCGATGTCTCTGTAGTTCCGGGGGAGCTATGAACTGGATCCAACGGAAGATCTATCTCTACAATGTCACGTTCGGGCTATTCATGTTGGATTGGTGGGAACGTTGCCTTTTCAGTATCCTTATGATAACTAGGGATCTGCTTTTCCTTCTTTTGCCTCTTTTGCATTCGCAGAGATTTTGTGTTCTAGATTTTCCCCAGGAGCTGTTTGTAGTCTACTGTATATGAACAAGAGATATGTGGATTTCAAACATGGGACTAGTTCTGTATCAAATTTACTGATGGGGTTTAAGGGTTGTTTGGCAAAATCTCCTGTTTGTGTGTGTTTTTGCTGCGTTTTCTTGTTTGGGTTCCTGAACTTGGCAGATACGCTGATGCTCGTGTTGATCTGGTTCATTGTGCGGTACATTACTGACTTCTGCAGCAGGTAACTTCTGTTCTCGATATTGGACAATTTGAATGTTGAATGCATCAATGCTTTCCAATTTCTGTGTGAGTGTGGAATGCTTGTTTATGTTGAGTTATTGACAAATGAATGGTAGGTAGCTTGGTACCCACAATCTCTACATGTTGAGCCTAGTTTGTTAGGTCCTGTAATTTTGAACTGTGACTCTCCTTTCATGCCTTCTAAATTATTAGGTTTCTTGCATACTCCACTTTGGCCACTTCGTTAGAGGGAAGTAGGTGATTCAGGACGAGAAGCCATGGTCATCAAATCTAATATGTAGACGCTAGTACTGGTTACTGGGTCTCTTGGAGATATCTGTTGGCTGTGGAAGTGCAATTTAGTCTATCAAAAGTACCCAGTTATCGTGTTAGGAAATCAGTTGACTTCATTACGAGGATCTTGAGAACTGATGTAATAGAAGCATGTTGATTTGTCTGCTCAACCTTTCCAATTAGATGGCTGTACAACACGGTAGGAAGCTTCAATCATTTTCGTTTTGTTACAACAGAGGGGTCTGGCATATCACCCATCCATAGGTGGCAGAGCAGTTTACCGTGTCTTCATTGGAGCAGGTTTACAGTCTATAAGTTCTAGTTGCTTGTCTCTAGAGTTCTGAGAGCAATAATTATTAGTGCCAACCTTATCTTCATTGAGAATCTGATTGAATATTTTGTAGCCTTAGGTTCCATCAAACAGTGGAGTACGTCTTGGGTGTGTAAAGTGAGTGTTTGTTCTCATTCCTGAGTTTGGAATGTGCTGTTGTGTCTTTCTGAAGCTTTACTCCTACTTTTTAGTATATTCATCAACCTGCAATTCTTCTTCTCAAGTAGCTCTCTGCCTTCACATGTGATCTATTGCCCTCAATTCTTCTCCCATGTTGCCGATGCAGGATCCCTTCTCAGTTTTCAGCCTACCATTCACCTTCTCCATCTCCGGACATCAAGTTCCCGAAGTAGTGGCTTTTCCACCTGCTTGAACTTGGGATTTCACCACTGAATTAGGTAGGATTCTATTTGCAATTGAACATGCATATGATTTTTTGTCATGACTTTAACACTGAGAATCAATATAGATGATCATCTTACTGAATCGATCATGGATTTCACCCAAGAGGCAAGAATAGCCTTCGGTGTTCGCTCATTCTATTATACAGGCTAGAAAATGCTTCTAATCTTCATCCAATGTTTTGGCACTGGAACATTCTGTTTATGTTAATATGAGATAGAAAATGTTTGTTCGTGTGCTGACGACTATCGAAAGAGATTGGCTGTTTTCTTATCATTTTTGCTCTGATCCCAGGTATCTATGGTTAAACAATTATAGCGAGATATATCTTGTCAACTATAAATCGTGGTTCCATGGTGACGAAGTTGGTAATAGCAAAGAGCAACGAATTGCTAAGCACGTATTGTAATCCAGATTGAAGAAAGGTTTAGATGATATTTTTCTTTTCTTTTTTGTCATGAGAATTTGTTGCAAGTGTGTAACCTTCTTGCTTACTCTTAGCCATAGCATCTTTTACTAAGGATTTTTATTTCTGAACTCTTTTTGGTTCATCGGTGTTGCAATGAAGACATGTTTTGATCATGATCGGAGGTTGGCTTGTTGCTAAAGCGATTGAAAAAACATAAAGAAAACACAATAAATCCTGATTAACGGCAATAGCTAGCCTTTTAATCCGTTCCTCCCATGGATGAGCAAAAACACCAGCAAATTGACCACCTGTATTTATCGTTAAGGTTTAAGGTTGGGTGAGCGTTTTATTTTATACAACCTGTCTCTTTGAAGTTGAGTGCGAATTTTGGGTTACGCAACCCGTAGAACCCGACTCAATCCGTGTTCAATTATTTTCATAAGTGTTCGTATCCATAACATATTTGTGACGTATATAAACATTTTTTAGAGAAAATTAAGATATTTTTTCAAACTTTTCACTCGTGGTCTCCCGTCTCCCTAACCTAATACATTTTTCGACTTAAAATTTAGAAGTGATTTAATATAGGGTATGCTTCACTTAATATTTTAGCTTATAACCTTTTTAACTTCTTTCGACAAATGTTTGTGGAAAAAACTGGAAGTATGTTGAATCAAATTAAATTGCATTTCTTTGAAATCTAAATAACATCAATGTATTTTTATAATTTTCACCTCAAATTATTTGTTATAATTTTTATGTAGTTACATTATATTTTTGTGGTGTAAGTAACATAGTTGCATTTTTTTGGGTTGGGGTCTTACTTGAAAGTAACAAAATGTAGGTATGAAAAATAAATTTCTAATCATGATTTATTATGAAAATTTCAACTCTCTCACAAACTGACAAACTTCTTAGGAGACCAATGAGAAATGTTCAACAAATCATCAATCTCTATCAATACAAGATTGAGTTATTTTATATAACTGTGTATATGCAGTTACAAGAGCTTAACAGTCTCTTTCACGAGGGACTAACACTGGATAGCGTGTTGCATGCTTAAATTAAGAAGATTTATTTATGACTTTAACAAGAAGAAGTTGGTTAAACTTGCTATCTTTTATCCTAATGAGTTCTTCAAAGATGTTAATTTACATCTTGATATTCATCAACTAGATGTTCATGAATTTGATATGAAGACAACTGTGAGGTTTGCAAGATTGAAGGAAATTGCAGAGCTTTCTAAAGAAACAGAGGCTTCAAAAAAACATCAAGTGTTTTTCATCAGTCTATCGACCTTTTGAAATTGGCATTGTTGCTTCCTGTTGCCACGACAAGGTGATGTAAAAACATTTAAGCAATGAATTACATGAACAACACACTTCAAAATATGATAACTGATGAAATCATGAACGATCTTTTGATTGGTTACATTAAAAGTGACACCATTGATAGCTTGGATGACGAAAGTATATATATTAGACATTTTTTTCAGATTATGAAAATGCGTTGTGGATAATTGTAAAAAAATTAACATAATTTATGTTACGTTTCATTGTTGAACCTCACTTGTACGACCGATCGAGGAACCAATAATCAAAGCACTTGAATGAAGAGAAACGATCGAATTGCATCATATCAACTGATCCCAATGATCACACTGTATTACGTACGTAAGCTGGCAATCAGCTGCTGCCGCAGAGCTTCCATGGCGGCGCCATTTCCATCCTGCTCCTCCGAACCATCATCATTATAGTACCCGCATTCGTCATCGTCGGACATTGAGAAAAGCGCTTGAAATTTGTTGTTGCCGCAACGAACCATGACATCAGCAGCATCAGTACTATCATCATGTTGGTGTTGATCATTCTTCTTCTTCCTGGGTAATGCATCGGCTGGCAGTGGCGGTACACTTCCACTTCCATTATTCTTACAGTCATTATAATTAGCTTCTCGATGCTTAGAAATATTCCTACACGTAGACGTAGAGAGTAGTAAATAGTAACTAATTGCAAGACAATGTTGTTGAACCGGAAAAGTTAGTGATTGATGGTTCAACAGTTAATCGTTATAAAATCGTTAGTTAACGGCTCACAAAACCGCTCGTTTATTATACACTAATTTACGAGTGAAACTATCGCTAAACTATAAACAAATTCATATTCTTATCATCTATCAGCAAAAAGTTTGGTAAAAGTATTCAAGCTATATATCTCACAAAGGTAATCAACCTTTTATTATTATTTAATTCAAACCTATAATCAGGATGAAGATCCATAGTGGACCACATTAATTAAGTTGAAAAAAAGACTGGAAAATGAAGAAAAGAAAGCATAAACAAAATTAGTGATCGAGGTTGGATGATCTTACTTCACATTAAACGCGGCTAAAGTGTTTTTTCTTAACCTTTTGTGGTTAAGATTGTGAATTGGTTGACTAGTCAAATCGTAATGGTTATTCCTTTGATTTTAAATCAAATCATTTAAAAAAAAACATTTGGTCCATTCCTAAGTCCTAATTAACCATTCAATCAAATAAGCCGAATTACTATCCTAATTGGGTTAGTGGTTCTAATTGCGTAACCATTGATCCGGTTCGATTTTTACAACAATAGCGAGCTAGCCAATAGCTGGCAAAAAAAAAAAAAACTAGTAATTAGTTTTACCATGGCATTGGGAGGAAAGCAAAACAGTTGCGACGATGCTGATCTTGATCATCGGCAAAACTTTCGAGCTTTTGGCTGGAGAGATCGAAGACGCCGGAGGAACAACATTTATCCTGGTAGCCACGGCGGAAGTCGTCGATATGGACGAAGTATATACGTCCGTCTTCCACCCCGTTATGGCGGGAAGCAGGGAGGCAAATCGACTGGTGGTGAGACTGCTGGCTCAACAACACAGCATTGCCTCCCAAGCTCCTCACTTTTTCCCAGCCGTCGTCATCAAGGTCGCCGGCGTGTGATTGTTCGTCGTCGTTAGCATGTTGTCGCAGCTTGTATACCTTGAATGGCTCGGAGTCGAAGGAAAGTCGTCGGTATCTGATGACGTGGAGCTGGCCGCCGCCGTCGAGGTGGAACAATCGAAGGCGCACCTCGCCGCCGAAAGGGATCGGGACTCGGGATCTCGAACCTCCAAGTGGGGTTATTATTATAAAGTTGTGGAAAATGTGGAGGCTGCGTTCGTCTGCGAGGTAGAGTTCGCCTTGGGAAAAAGAGGCGTCCTGGAATTGGGCCTTTCCCAGCATAAAGTCCAGGCCCATGAATGCCCACTTTTGTCTTCTTCCTCCTTCTTCTGGGCCCACCTCGTGCCATGCCAACTGGCAGTGGGGGCTATTGGGGGAGGAGAATACGAGGATGACGTGGCAGCGGTCATCGTGACGGTCCGGGGAGGAGGAGATGACGGCTTTCAAAATATCGTCCGGCGAGATGACGAGAGGAGGGAGGGTGAAGAACGCGCCGGTGATCGGGTTGAGGAGGTACGGCTTCACCGGGTCGGGTCGAGCTGCGGGTTGGATCACCAGGACCCACCCGTCTTTGGAAGTGACGCAGGGGTTATTTGAATTCGTCGGCGGGTTTCTCGGATCGAGACCGAGCGGGATGGTGACGTGGCGGGGGAGCCCACGGCGGGATCTGGAATATGGACGGGGAGGAGGAGGAGTGCCGCTGCCGCCACCGGCGGCGGCGGCGGCGGCGAGGAAATCGGGGAGTGGGGTAAATCGATGGGAATCGGGGATGAGGGTGCGGGATTGTAGGAAGCCAGGGAGGCATGGGAATCGGTAGTTGTTGAGGTGGAGTTGTTGGAGAGCGACGATTCTCCACCATCTGCACACGCCGGAGAAAGGGACGAAATGGGAGAAGCTGGGCAAGTGATCTTTCGCGATCTTGGACAATATGTCCTCCGGTAGCTCTGAGTATGAATCCATCGTCTTGTTTGGGGAAGACGAAAGCCGGATCCGGGTCAGGTTATATATATATATATATAGTTAGGGTTTCAGGAATCAGGAAGTTCTTGAAATTCAGGAAACTAAATCCCTTCGACCCTTCCCATCAATACCTCTCTCCATAATTAATCTCCTTGCTAATCTCTTTAGGACCTTGAACCCTCAAACCAATTCAATTCCATTCCCAAATCAATCTCCTGAGTCCTCAACATACTTCCGCAAACTAGGATCTCCATCTCAACTCGTTGCCCAATTTCAAAATCGGATCGGATCGGATGCTGAACCACAAAAGATTGTGATGCATGGTTCGACGGTTAATTATTATAGAAATATTAATTAACAACCGTTCATAAGCTATAACATAAAACTAGATCATATGGGCCCGTCCTCGGAGAAAACCTAGTAGGGTTTTGTGGAAGGATTGATCTTCAGCTTCGTCTGAGATCATCCTCTGCGTTTTATAGTTTAGCTAAAATGTAAAGACGAATGGATTACAGAGCAATGCCACTTGGCTGCTATCCATTCGTGTATTTAAAGCCTAAACCGTGTATTAAACGGGCTAACTCCTATTACAACTCTCTAGTAATAAAACGACGTAACATAACTTAATGAAAACGTTTCTTCCTTCCATACGTTTCGTCCTTCTTTATTCTTCCTCGAGCTTGTTCTTCATCATTCCTTCTGCAATTTGGATTACAACTCTGTCACGTCCGTTGGTTGGATGAATTTTGTCAATGGTATAAATAATGATACGTTTATGAAGTAAGACACGTTTTATTTTTTTAGCATAAAATTTTTCGAATTTTTAGTTGCTAGAAGTACAAAAAATGTCAGTTATAGAATTTCCAGGCATGCTAACTAATTGATTGACAATCGTCTTTGTCAAAAGTTAAAAAAAACCACATGCACGAGAATCAACTCCTGAAAAACTTAGAGTGGAGAAAATTATTAAGGTCATAGATTTTTTGGTTTTTGCTGTTTTTTTATGTATGCATTTTAGGTTCAGAGATTTCGAATCTCTAAAATCTTGAGATATAAAATCTCTTATAATAAGAGAGATTCGATATCTTGACTTGTAATAATTTTTTCTCCTGTTTTATACTTTATCCCTTCCTTTTTTTTGTTTATCCCACCAAATACTCTTAGTAATAAATTCTTAATATTTCTCAAGCCGTTATGATTCTTTTAGTCAAGGATAAACATATCATTTGAAAAAAATTTAGAATTTCTATT